GGCTTTGGCATTGCGTTTGATGCATGACATCACACGCACACACATCACTACGCACGTACGGGTGCTCGGATCGGCTAATTGCAGAGAGAGACTGTGGAGTTGTTTTCAACACCGGTAATAGGTAAGCTTATTTTCATTATTGTTTCTTGTTTATAAATATTGTGCAGGGAGGTAAATTCAGCATCTTTATAAAGACCGTTGTGTGGTTGAAACATTGATTAATACATGCAAACTTAAATATACTTATTTGCATTTTTACCAAAACCAGAAGAGTGCTCTCATCATTTCTTGGTATATCACATGTGCTGGGAAGCACCCTGGTTATTAAGGTATACCAATATATTTGTTTTGGGACAGAGTGCCAGATTCTTCCATTTACACGCACACACACATACACACACACATACACACACACACACACACACACATACACACACACACATACACACACATACACACATACACACACATACACACACATACAAACAAACACACACACATACATATACACACACACACAAACAAACACATACACACACATACATACATATACACACACACACACATACATACAGGGAGTGCAGAATTATTAGGCAAATGAGTATTTTGACCACATCATCCTCTTTATGCATGTTGTCTTACTCCAAGCTGTATAGGCTCGAAAACCTACTACCAATTAAGGGTGATGTGCATCTCTGTAATGAGAAGGGGTGTGGTCTAATGACATCAACACCCTATATCAGGTGTGCATAATTATTAGGCAACTTCCTTTCCTTTGGCAAAATGGGTCAAAAGAAGGACTTGACAGGCTCAGAAAAGTCAAAAATAGTGAGATATCTTGCAGAGGGATGCAGCACTCTTAAAATTGCAAAGCTTCTGAAGCGTGATCATCGAACAATCAAGCGTTTCATTCAAAATAGTCAACAGGGTCGCAAGAAGCGTGTGGAAAAACCAAGAAGCAAAATAACTGCCCATGAACTGAGAAAAGTCAAGCGTGCAGCTGCCACGATGCCACTTGCCACCAGTTTGGCCATATTTCAGAGCTACAACATCACTGGAGTGCCCAAAAGCACAAGGTGTGCAATACTCAGAGACATGGCCAAGGTAAGAAAGGCTGAAAGACGACCACCACTGAACAAGACACACAAGCTGAAACGTCAAGACTGGGCCAAGAAATATCTCAAGACTGATTTTTCTAAGGTTTTATGGACTGATGAAATGAGAGTGAGTCTTGATGGGCCAGATGGATGGGCCCGTGGCTGGATTGGTAAAGGGCAGAGAGCTCCAGTCCGACTCAGACGCCAGCAAGGTGGAGGTGGAGTACTGGTTTGGGCTGGTATCATCAAAGATGAGCTTGTGGGGCCTTTTCGGGTTGAGGATGGAGTCAAGCTCAACTCCCAGTCCTACTGCCAGTTCCTGGAAGACACCTTCTTCAAGCAGTGGTACAGGAAGAAGTCTGCATCCTTCAAGAAAAACATGATTTTCATGCAGGACAATGCTCCATCACACGCGTCCAAGTACTCCACAGCGTGGCTGGCAAGAAAGGGTATAAAAGAAGAAAATCTAATGACATGGCCTCCTTGTTCACCTGATCTGAACCCCATTGAGAACCTGTGGTCCATCATCAAATGTGAGATTTACAAGGAGGGAAAACAGTACACCTCTCTGAACAGTGTCTGGGAGGCTGTGGTTGCTGCTGCACGCAATGTTGATGGTGAACAGATCAAAACACTGACAGAATCCATGGATGGCAGGCTTTTGAGTGTCCTTGCAAAGAAAGGTGGCTATATTGGTCACTGATTTGTTTTTGTTTTGTTTTGAATGTCAGAAATGTATATTTGTGAATGTTGAGATGTTATATTGGTTTCACTGGTAATAATAAATAATTGAAATGGGTATATATTTGTTTTTTGTTAAGTTGCCTAATAATTATGCACAGTAATAGTCACCTGCACACACAGATATCCCCCTAACATAGCTAAAACTAAAAACAAACTAAAAACTACTTCCAAAAATATTCAGCTTTGATATTAATGAGTTTTTTGGGTTCATTGAGAACATGGTTGTTGTTCAATAATAAAATTAATCCTCAAAAATACAACTTGCCTAATAATTCCCAGATTTTACTATTAACATGACGTAAAGTCATGATTTTATTAAAGACACGGAGGCGAGTATTATGCATAACTCTTTCTTTATTTCCTCAGCAGCAAAGATAGAGGAATATAAATATTGTCAAAAATGAAAGAAAAAACTGTATAGATACACAGGCAACCAATCACATAACAGAGGAAGTGACTATATAAAGCCTGTGTCTCCCACAATCCCCCTCTTTCTTGCGAAAACCGAAGACCAGGTAAGTAAAACGATATCTTGCTTGGCCAAAACCGGGAACTGGAACAATCCGACAATTTCAAGCTAAAAAAGAGAGAGAAATATGGTAATAACCAAACTCCAAACTGTGGACTTACCAATACAAAACTAACGACCATTCATATGGTTAAAGGAATGAAATCTGAAAAATATAATAGACATAATTAATCAGTATATGCAATACAACACATGAAGTACTCACAAGGCAGGCCAAATCTCAACATACCTGAGTACGCCAATCGCATCTCGCTCCATACCCCACACCGGGAGGGTGGGAGGGAATAATACTCGCCTCCATGTCTTTAATAAAATCATGACTTTACGTCATGTTAATAGTAAAATCTGGGAATTTTATTAAAGACACGGAGGCTCATATTATGCAAGTTCAAAGCTGTGCTATCACCTGAGATGCGATGTGCTCAATAGGTCTGAAGTAGAAGTCACGGAAGGTCGACTCTCGAGACCAATCCGCTGCACGCATGATGTCCTCCAGACGACAGCCGACTGTCGAAGCCTTGGAAGCCATAGCACCCCTCACTGAATGGGGTGTAAAGATAGACGTGTCTATACCAGCTGCAGACAAAAGCCAACGCACCCAACGCGCCAGGGTCGGTGTCGACACAGGTCGATGCGGTGTACGAAAAGAAATGAACAAAGGTCGTAGATCTGGTGAGCGAAGAGGCCGGGTCACCTCCATATAGACCTTCAAACACTCCACTGGACAGAGTGCCGGACATCCTTGGAATCTAGGGTACACGAAAGACCTTGACGCAGATTTAGTCCGTCTGGAAATGTTAAAAGTCACACCCTCAGGGGAGAAGGTAACGGCGTCCCAATCAAGGGCCCTAACGTCAGAAACCCTCTTACATGAAACCAAACAAAGCAACATAACCAACTTGGAAGACAGTTGCTTAAGGGTCAGCCCCTGGTTCGGGTACCAGGAAGACAGAAACTGAAGCATAATGTTAACGTCCCAAAAGGCAGAGAAACGAGCCTTGGGCGGACGGGCGAGGCGAATGCCCTTGAGCAGGCGACACACGAAGGGGTGTCTGCCCACGGGCGAACCATCCAAACCAACATGACCAGCTGATATAGCGGAACGAAAAAGGTTGATAGTTCGATACGCCTTGCCCGAATCAAACAGAAAAGTGAGGTACTCCAAAATCAGATGGAGAGGGGCAGATACGGGATCCACTGCCCGTTCCATGCACCAACCAGACCATGAGCCCCATGAAGAGCGGTAGGCCGATCGCGTACCTGGAGCCCAGGCGTTATCGAGGAGTTGTAGAGTCGTCCGCGAAACGTTCGGGACAACCCAGGTACCCCTGAAAGGAGCCACGCCATCAGAGGTAGCTGGTGTCGGAGCACCAGTCCGTGCGAGTTCCCATCCGGATCCAGGAGGAGATCCTGGAAGCTCGGAATCAGTCTGGGGTAGTCTATCGACAACTCCATCAAGCGTGGGAACCATGGACGGGACCTCCAAAGAGGTGTGATCAGTACCAGGCAGCAATCGTGCCGGATCAACTTCGATATCGTGCGAGCGATCATGTTGAACGGTGGGAAGGCATACAGGCGTCCCGGAGGCCAGTCTTGGAGAAAGGCGTCCGTCGCTACTGCTGCCGGGTCTGGCCTCCAGCTGTAAAACGCAGGGAGTTGAGTGTTCAGACGTGAAGCGAACAGGTCCAACTCGAAGCGTCCCCAGAGACTGTCCAGACCTCGGAAAACCGAAACGTGCAAGTGCCAATCTCCCGAGTCTCTTAAGTGCCTGGAATTCCAATCCGCTCCCGAATTGTCCAGGCCTGGGATGTGTTCCGCCTGCACCGAGACGTTGTTGAGGAGACAAAATTGCCAGAAATCCTTCGCCAATAGCGCCAACATTCTGGACTTGGTGCCCCCAAGATGATTTATGTACCGGACTGCCGACACATTGTCCATCTTGAGGAGAACGCAACAGTCTGCCCGGCCTGGGGTCAGACTGCGTATCGCGAAGGCCCCCGCCAGCAGTTCCAGACAATTGATGTGTAGGGACCTCTCTATGTCGGACCATCTGCCTCCGGTGGAAACGTCTCCACAACGAGCACCCCAGCCGTGTAAGCTGGCATCGGATTCTATCACGACATCCGGGATCGAGCCGAAGATGGCCCGTCCGTTCCAGCCCTCCATGTGTGCCAACCACCATACCAACTCGTCTCTGGACTCGTCGTCCAGCCGTATTCGGGACTTGTAGGAGTGGCCCGAACGCAGGTGTGAACCCTTGAGTCGTTGGAGGGCACGATAGTGTAGCGGGCCCGGAAAGATCGCCTGAATCGAAGCCGCCAGAAGGCCGATAATCCTTGCCAGTTGCCTGACGGACATATCCGGCACCCGAAGAGCCCTTCGGAGCTCCTTCTGAATGGCCTTCATCTTGGACTCCGGCAAGTACAGGAATTGCCTGATGGAGTCCACTTGGAAACCCAAGAATTCTATAGACTGGGTAGGGATCATGACCGACTTGTCCCAGTTGATCAGAAAATCCAAATTTTGGAGAAGGTTGGTTGTCCAACCCAAATGTAACAGCAGAGATTCCCTGGATTGGGACATGATCAATATGTCGTCCAGGTAAACGATCAGTCGCACCCCACGGGTAC